ACACCTTGTTTATCTTTCCTCCACACGTGGCGACGCGAACAGACCCTGATTTTTTCTGTATCTCGTACGGTTGTCTGACATCCACTCTGCATCCCACTTTCAGCCCTCTGCATGTAACCGCTTGATGCTAACAACACTTGGCCTCCCTCCGCACAGTTAGCAGCGAGGTGTCTGTGTGAGCACTCAGGTTGCATTTACTTTTAACTTGGCCACCCACCGGCCAGTGGTAAACAACACACATTCACCTTCACTCAGGCAATTCTGAGAGCAACCAGGCAGCGTTCTGACACCAGAAAACACACAGGACGAGCCCGTCCTCTCAGCAAACAACACAAGTGAAAACAGACTAGAGATCTCCTCTTCCCGCTGCTCTCGCCAGGATGTTTGCTAAAAGCACGGCTGTAAAGTCATCCGCGTTCAGGCTCAGGATCTCTACTTCTCAGTTTTTGTTTGCGCTTATTGCTGCCTGTGTGTGTGTGTGTGTGTGTGTGTGTGTGTGTGTGTGTGTGTGTGTGTGTGTGTGTGTGTGTGTGTGTGTGTGTGTGTGTGTGTGGCCGTAACAATGCCTGATGAATGAGGAGCTGCGGTGCTGACAGAAGGCTCCATTAACATGTGCTGCTTGGCTCCCCCCATTGCAATCCGTCACACTCTGCACACACGTACACAGAATGGATGTAATGAGTGGGATGATTTAACACCAACTGGTTGGTGTTTACAGGCAGTGAGAAAAAAAGTTATTTTAGGATGTTTTTAGGTTACCAATGAAGTTTTATGCTTTTTGTTTCTAATCTGTCAACATAGATTAAATGTGGTTTCTAATCTCTCAGTTAAGTCTTTTGTTAGATGAAAAGAATGCAAAGGTTGCAGCTCCAGACCCATAGGTTTATTACTAATTATCATCATTATTATTACATTTTTAACGCGCTGATAAAATATCCGTATGAGAATTTTTATTGTTTATTCTTCATATCCAAGGTTAGACGATTAGTTGCAAAAAATGTACACAACCTGTTACTTTCAATTCAATTCAGTGTTTTTATATAGCGCCGAAACACAACAAGGGTCATCTCAAGGCACTTCACAAAGTAAAACATTCCAGTTGAATCCAGTTCATTATGTCAATTATTTAAAAGTTTCCTATATAAGAAAACCCATCAGATTACAGCAATCCTCATACTAAGCAAGCATGTAGTGACAGCGGAGAGGAAAACTTCCCTTTAGCAGGAAGAAACCTGGCTCAGTATGAGCATCCATGCACCGGGACTCACTGGGGCTCTATATAGAGGGACAGCAGTAGTTCAGGGGATAGAGCGGGTTGTCCAGTAATCAGCAGGTTGCAGGTTCAACCACGGCTCTGACTAGAGAATGCTGCTGTTGTTTCCTTGGGCAACCATGCCTGCTGGTGGTGGTTGGAGGGGCCGATAGCGACAGGGTTTGGAAGGCCTTGCCTCTGTCAGTGCGCCCCAGGGCACTTGTGGCTTCATCGTAGCTCATCCCACCAGCGTGTGAATGTGTGTGTGAGTGTGTGTGGGTGAATGACTGATTGTGTTGTGAAGCTCCTTGGGGGGATGTAGAACCCAAAGGAGGTGCTTTACATGTTATAATTAGTAAATCTAACATTCTTCATTTGGTTTATCTTTTCTATGAATCACACAGATGGAAATAATTACGTTAATCAGCCCTTAGTGGCATTAGCCTCAAATCTTTTGGTCATGCTTGTATACCAATCCCAGTCACCAGGCAACCTGGAGATGTAAATGATGAAGATGGGCTTATCTTCATTGCACAAAGCTGAAGCTAAAATATCCTCATTATAAGTGCTGCCATGTTGTGTTTATGGTATTTATACACTAGGAAAGTAGTTCCTCGTACACAATCAAGTTGATTTAGATGACAAATAACCTAATAGATCCTAACATATTAGATAAAAAAGAATATGAACATACAGCAGCAAAACTGGCTAATAGCAGTCAGCCTGACCTAGATCCTCGCATTTACTTTCAGAACCAAGAAGCTAGAGGACAATCGATCAATCAAATCCGGGAAGTTTGATGCTTTTCTTTCATCAAGGCAAATGCACGAGACTCTTTTCATGCATATTTTTTTACTAATCCTTTACAACAACAAAAGACCGAATCCTTATAAATAAAATATTGTTTGTGTAAAGTATTGTTTTTGATCACATAAAAACATCAACTTTTAAAATGAATTTCACATTTTTTGAACTTAGTAATTTTGGCTCTGGTTTAAAAACAAACAGGGGTCTCGTTTATCAAACATTGCGTAGAATCCTTACTAAAACCGTACTTAAACACAGCAAAAAAAAAGTACTTACGCCAAGTAGGTTTGTGATCTATCAAACATGGAGTACACACAGCTGCACGCAATCTCCGCTTCATAAATCGGAGACTAACGAGAAAGTTTCTCAGCTGCATTTTAGTCACATCCTCACCACGCCCACTTACTGCCATAAATAGTGAATGCAAAGTGCCTTGTGGATCTCATGCATATACATAAGCTGGCTGTTGCAGCACTCCACCAATGACATGGCGACCGTAGATCAAGGCAGATCAATTAAGCGCAATTTCACAGAAGCAGAAATTGAGGTACCTGTGGGTGAGGTGGAGAAATGAAAGGAAGTGCTTTTGCAAAACAAATAAGAGAAAATCCACGGAGTGGCACAGCATTGCTGAAGCCGTCAATGTTGTGAATTCTTCAGAGAGATCTGTGGCGGGTAAAAAAAAATGGTCCAATCGGGAGACAATCCCCAGACTCCCAGGTGAAAGTCACGCGTGCTAACCAGTCCGCCAAACGGAGATCTCCCCTGTACAAGTAGCCAGGGCAGATGATCAATCGAGTCACAGTGACAGGACCATCGACATATAAATATTGGAAAATGGGTTTCCATAGACTCCAATAACACATTTTTGAAGATTAATGGGAGGTGGCCACCACCGCCATTTTGACCGTGTCACAGGTTCCGTCAAGCCCAGACAATTCCACAAAAGGGAAGAGAGGTGGAGCTGAGGGTTGGGCTGTAAGGCTGGGATCTACAGACGACACCCGGTCGAACTAGCTACAATCTAACCTGAAGCTAACCCAAAGCTAACGCGGAGGTGGGAGCTAAGCTAACGGAGGTAGCAACCTAGCTACAACCGGAGTTAACTGTGCACAACACCAGAGCTTCTGAGTCAGAGATACGCCGGGCTGACCGCTGGGTAAAACCGGGTGGAACACAGAGGTCTCCGAGACCTCCACAAGCCGGCAGCCGCACAGCAGACAAGCGCCACTGCGATCTGAGATGCGCAGAGCTGCCGCTGGGGAGAACCGGATGGAAAGGTTTCCATCCCATAGCTCCACAAGCCAGCAGCCCGCGCAGCAGACAGAAGCCGCGATCAGACAGAGATGCTCCGAGCTACAGGGAGGGGAGAACCGGGTAGAAAGGTTTCCATCCCAGAGCTCCACAAGCCGGCAGCCCGCGCAGCAGACAGAAGCCGCGATCAGACAGAGATGCGCCGAGCTGCAGGGAGAAAACAGAGATCTCCCGAGAGCTCCACAAGCCGATAGTTGGAACCCAGCTCCACCAACATGTTATATTTCAACCCATTTTCTAAAGTGCAGCATTATGTTAAATGCACTGGGTTTTACCCTATTACATTTAAATTTCATGGTTAAACAGTACATGTTAAAATCTAAGCTCAGCTCAGCAGTGACCTAAAATACATAAATATAATTTTACTTACCGAAAAATATGAAGTGGAGACTCCTTGGACGCTCTATTAGTGCAATTAATGCCACAGCAAGTCATTTTGTCCAACAATTGCACAAATAATATCCAAAAAAGAACACACAAACACAGAGACTCAAAATGCCGGAGCAGTTTCCAAGCCAGACCGAGGCTCAGGCTGAGGCCTTTCCACGGAGCTAGCTCTGTGGTCATGTGGGTCTGATGCTCATTAATTATACAGAATTTTAGGCTTTTAATACACTTAAACAGAAGAGTGAGAAAAAAAATCACCCCCCTCAGAGTTGTCATGAGTATAAACCAGATAATTTAGACAAAAAACATGTTTTGGTACCAGGCTGTAAACATGTTTATTTCTGCTGTGAAAATGGCATTTTTAACATGGGAGTCAATGAGGATTTGCTCGCTTCTGACACCAGCCCCCAGCGGATGAGGGTGGAACTGCAATGTTGGGTACTTGGGGGGGGGGGGGGGGGGGGTCGGTCTTATTCTGTGTGAAAACAAAGCAGTACAAGTGATAATGCTGCAGGATTTCATAATTGTATCCTTCTCAGCAGCATCACTGCAGGTGCTCTCCATGTCCAAAATGTGCATAAGCAAGGTCCTTAGTCAACTTAAAGTTGCGCACATTTTCCTGCTAAGTTTTCTTTCATAAATCCCAAAGTTTGCATGTAAAGTTGCTTACGCAGTTTTCCTACCCCGTTTTGTGCGTAAGCAAGCTTGATGAATGAGGCCCCAGCACATTAGTGATTGGCGGGACTTCATGTACTTAATGTACATTGGTTCTGGCTTTAACTTTAGTGTTATGATTATGCACCAACTAAACCTTAATTGTAAACGTAATCAAAGACAACGTGTTAATTTTAATGTTCTCCACCTGATTGTTCCCACAAAAGAAGTACACATCTAAAATGTCTGGCTTTCAGCTTGGGTTCAATGTTGTTTATTTATTTGTTTTGTTTTTTAATTTTGTGAAATCTGTGTCTCTGTGTGGTTTATCGTCAGGTGATAATCAAAAAGGCTGCAAATAGATTAGCAGTTTAAATGCCTGATTTAGAATATTAAACAACATTTTATTGTATTCCCTTTTTATTAGTATTTTATTAAGTAGATGGTGATGAAAATTAGACTTTTATTAATTGTGAAGCTGAAACTAAAACTGTTATTGCGTACGATCTCGGAACAACATTGGAAATGAATAACTTATTTTTCAGTTTTTACTTCTAAACTTGCTTTGTTATTTTGTATTTTGCAGCTCTGCAGATGAGAAGTTTCGCTGGAACCACCGAGGTAATATTTAAATGTCTTAAATGTTCTAATGTGATCATATCTGGCCCTTTGCTGTTTCCATACTGCTGAATGTTCACCTCACATGACCCTTCCATTTGTGCGTCTTTGGTTTACTGATGCATTCTTTTCAAAGACGCGCAAAATCAAAAGACTCACCTCCTACGAGTAAAATTGGTCTGTTCTCATAAAATATCTCTTTTTCAGCCTGTTTCTCTGGCTTCACTCCATGTGAAAGCTGAGTAAAGGTCAGTTTTAAATAGTTCTGCGCTCTCGTCCAGATGGGAAGCGTTTTCCATGCATGACAACGGGAATCAATGTGCGTTTTGTTGATTTAAAAGTCAAATCAAATCACCTCTTCAGGCTTGACAACTTTTCTGACGGCATTTGTGTTGGAAAAACACCAGCCGTCCATGACACTAAGGTCACTTTTTCTGCCTCTCTGTCAGTCAGGTTCAGATCTATAGGCTGCTGCGAGTAGATTGATGGTCTGAGTGCACGCTTGGTGACCTCTGCCAACAAAGAGGTGTCTAACTCAGAGAGGCTCAGAGGTTTTGTGGTGACAGGATGTCCGTCCTGCTGTGCTTGACCACTCAGCCTGAGAAGGACTAAACTTACTTGAGAATAAAACCTGTCCTTACTCCAGCCGGACCTTTAATCAAATCATTGCTCTGAAATCGTTAAAACCCCATTTCTTCTAAAAAAAAAGACTTTTAGTCCTATTTTCTGTAAGATTGGGAATAAATCCAATGTAACGATGCAGTAAGGCCTAGAAATCATTTTACCAACAGCATCAGCATCACCAGTCTGCAATCGCATCAGTCCAAGTCAATAAAAAGAGCCTCTTAAATCCTCCCACTAAGGCCACCACTATTAACGTTCTCTTTCCGTCTCAGTAAGAGATTAATGTTCTCCTAAGACTCATTTGTAAGCTTTTATCCTCCTTGGCAGCCCCCTCTAACTGACAGACACTGACCATGCTATCAGCCTCTGTCTGACAGACAAACGGCTGCTATCTCAGTGCGAGGTGGACCTCAGTCCCACAAGATTATCAGTTAGGTTTTTACCCTTGACGCAGGTTTTACCTTTGCATGTGGCTCCGTTGTAAGGAACGAGTAAAACCACTCATTCCCCAGCTTATCAGCACTTGTACGGGAGTCAGTGCTGTTTCTTACCGTTCGGTCTAATTAGATTTAATTAATGGACGTGAGCAAGAAGTAAGAATGCTTAAATTTGAAGTCAACGCATTGGTTTAGTTAGCGGTGGTAGGTTAAAATTAGCTCAAATTAATGCACACATGTTTAGACACCTGCCTATGCATGATCAGCTAATCAATACCAATATTTATATCATTTTGCATTTTATTGATGGAACCAGCTACAGTAGAACGGGTGTTGCGTTGCTATGATGAAGGCTGTTGCTAACCCTAAAAGATTTTCTTCCCTAGACATTGCATACGAACTAAAACCTCTAGGCTCACAACAGTTTTGGGAAAATGTTGTCTAGTTCTACAAAAGACTAAGATTTCCTCAAATTTCTGCAAGAGACTGATTACGCAAACGTATAAAACTATAACAACACCCCCTAGTGGATGTAGTTATTACTGTGCAGGAGATCAGAAATGAAAACATGGACAATTCAATAAAGTTAATTTGTTCCTCGTTGGCTTGTTGTTCTCTTCTTATCTTAAATTAACAGTCATTGGATCCAGGATAACGATGAGGGATAAAATAACTAACTCCTGTGTCATCATTTAAACTCTAATCATCTAAACCAGCCAAAATGCTTTCAAACATCCACCTGAAACATTTGAGTATAATCAAGGCAAGTTCAGCGATCACTGAGCCTTGTGTTGTTTTTAGGACCCCTGCAGCTTTTGCAGGGTTCAGGAGAAACCGTTTGTCCCTTTCCTCATGTTTCGTTTCTCTTTTTCTTTCTCCTGCAGATGGGCAGAAGGACATAGAAGAAGAGCTGACAACAGGTCTGGAACTGGTGGACTCGTGCATCAGATCACTTCAGGAGTCGGGCATCTTGGACTCCCAGGACACCACTGCAGGAGACAGTAAGATTCATGACCGTATAGTTTCTCCAGTTATCTACGGTCCTGTTAGAAGGAAGGTCCAATGCCAATTAGCAAAAAAGTGTTCTGACTTTCATTGCTTTGCCTGTTTCGTGGCTAAAAGAGTCGCGTAAAGTTCAACTTAAATTCAGTTCAAATATTGTATATTTTACATCAGATAGGAGAAAGTCATTAAGTTTTGCCCGGTTAGTTTTGAAACCTCAAAAACAGCCAACAGAAATTCAGTTTTCAATCATATCATGCGCCCTTGGTCATGTGACTCTGTATGTTTATGTAGCTGATCCCCAGAATCCAGAGAGACGACCAGCTGGAGGTACTCCAGCTCTTGGAAATTTTTGAACTGAAACAATGCTGTTTTGTTTATTTTCAGACTGGAACACAAAGGCAAATAAAATCCTTATAGATGTTTAAATTACTGATGCTTTAAATTTAATGTCATCAAATCCCTTAAGGCCAACCCTCTTCTGCATCATAGTAACATAGCATATATATGCATGCACATTTATGCACAAATTATACATAAATATATATATTTTCTATTTTAATTGAAGCCCTTTCTGTCTTAAATACTTATTCTTTGCAACATTCAGGGTTAGGGTTGGGTAACCCCTAAATTAGCTGTTGATGTAATTTGACAGACCTCAGATCCTCACATTGCTGTTTCACATACGTTGTTGTTTTAAATCCACATTGCGATGCTGCAGGGGAGGAGAGCTCTCACTGAGATGCTAAACCGCTCCCTGCATCTCACTGCGCCACTCTGATCTTTTTGCACTCGGTCCTGGAGCTGATACCCGTGTCTTTGCTCCACTCGACCCCGTGGGAGAGAGAAGGCTGTCAGGAGACATGCAGAGTTGTGCCAGTAGTTTGATATGCTAATCCATCCTCGCTGAGATGTCAGCTGGCCTGCTGTTCACAGAGCAGGGAGGAGAGGCAAAACAGGCGACCACTGTACTCCGCATAGACGCATGGCTGTGTGCACGAAGGCAGAGAGGGAAACACAACCATGCTCCCAGGCAAAGAGAAACACAGACTGCATGAGGTGGTGCTGCATTTAAACTCACCATCATGCATCGGCAATGGCACACAAACAATAAAACCAGCAATTCTTGATTTGTTTAATATTTTACATTCATGTAAGTAACGAATGACCCATGATTCTTTTTCACAACTGTCTATAAGCCGTTTATGTACCCGTTAGTACTTTGTGTCCCTCTGGTTTAATTCTACTGAAGGATCCGGCACTTAGTACAAACAAACTAGCTCATTGCAAGTTATCGCTGGCTACATTACCTTAAAGAATATCAGTATTAATAGCTGTTATAAAACAAAGGCGAGTTACAGAGTTTTATACATTGCAAAGCAGGGTTTTATTTACATTTGCTGCAATGTAGCCTTGGTGTTTGCTGCTCTTTTTAGAAATTGGACTTTCTCACCCAATGAGTCACCGGAGCGAGATGGAAACAATGCGTAACTTTGGTAGTTCTCACATTTACCTCAGCACCCAAAAATGATCACATGACATAAATCACCCCTGGCTTACAGTGACTACTCATAACCCAACTCACAACTACAATAACTGGCCCCAAGGTGCTAGGAGATTAGGCTAACATTAGAAACTGTGCAGCAGACTCAAAAATAGTATTCAGATTGAAAGGAAATTAATCTAAAGGTTATTTCATTTTGAGTATGAATGTAATTTGTTTTAAAGATACTTTTATGCATTCTGCATTAATTGTATTTTTGCTGCTTTCTGATTTGGAATCAGAATTTCTTAGATCTCATCATTTTAGATTCTGATCTTTGTCATGTTTTAAGTTTTTGTCAGTACAAGATATATTTTTAAATAAAAATTATTTGATTTGGTTAGTTAGATTTTTTGCAGCATTACTAACCTAATAGCATGTTTTATGCACAACCTTCTACTGGAGCACAAGCTACCATACAGCTGCTTTCAAATCTAAACTACAGAGGAAAGGTGAAAATACAAGCAAGGAATAATAACTACTGTAAGTAAGAAACATAAGTATCTATAATTTAATAACATTACTAAATATTTCAGATGTAAGAGAAGTAATCTGCAAGGTGCAAAAACATCAACCTGTAGCCAACAACAAAGCAACTTGATAGATCTTCAGCAAGCTGCATCAATGTGATCTGGTTTTTGTTCACTTCTGTTAGAAACTAAGAATCTCTAACAACTGTCAGTGATTTGACATCTGTTTCATGACAAAGGAAAAGCAGTTTCTTCTTGATGTACAAAAATGACTGATTTTAGCACAAGAAATGCAAGAATTATGCACAAAGACTTCAGCTCCAGCAGAATCACTTGTGCTGCTGAGCAGATCAGTATGGAATACCAGCAGGATGCAGTCTCTTCACTCGTCATGCTGCTTCCATGCTGGAGATACTCAACATGCATGTTAGTCTGTGTTTATTTGACAGTTTTGGGACTTTGGTCATAGTTTTGTGGGAGTGATTATTAGAAAAAAAAACATAAATCTGATGATAAGATGTTGGTCACCAAGAAAGTGTTTACTTTCAAATATGATCATGCAGCCCCATCACCTCTTTCATACTTGAGACGGATTCTGTGAAGCCTTCCATCTTTGTTGCTTGAGTGCTAATGTATTTATTAGGCCTTTTAATTCCCCAAAGGCTCCTCGAGACACATGAGACACACCTTAAGTGACGAAGACTCTAGAAAACATCCTGCTGGCTTTGAGTTTTGGTGCATGTATGCATGAACGTGAATCAACGTGAAAACGAGCTTCAAGTAAAGATGCATGCCTGCGTGTGCAACATAACGAGCCTGTCATAGACACAAAGGCTTTGACCCAGTAAACTAAACCTGGATCCTCAGTTTTATATCATGTTTTAAATAATGCACATTCACCAGCTGTGTTGCCACCGGGAGATGTGCTGCGCTTTAGTCACATCTCTCTCTCTGGAGCTTCATTTTGCAAAACTTTTAGGTTCTTTTAGCTGCAATCTGCTGATTTAATCTGTCCCGTGCATTGGCATGGTGATTTAACTTTGGTTTATAGTCACAAACAAGCAAAGACTCATTTTGTCTCATGTGATTTTCAGTTAATTTGGCAAAATAAATAAAGATTAAAGAGACAACTGCTATTGACCGTGGACAGCTCCAAAAGTCCTCAGAGAGCACGAACACTGAGCGTTAGGCCTTTGTGGCTCTGTGTAGACTAGATCTACGCTGTAAAGCTGTTTCCCGGCAATGTGAGTTGTTTGTCACATTGAGGCAGCCAACCCAGTTGCTTTATGTAGACATTACTAAAGCCACTGGGAGACTTTTGAGCTAGAAAAAAAGTCATGAAAAGTAGAAATCACTTCTGCAATAAAAGTTGTTTATTAGCCACATCAGTACCATTATCACTAGAAATTAATTAATTAAGAGGTGATGAAATATTAAACAGAGTTGTGAGCGTGAGCTGTTGCATAAGTGCGCTCCTCGAGTTTTGAGTCCATTTGCAGGTTGTTGGGGCTTTGCAAGTCTCTCTGTAACAAGTCACCTTGTTTTTACTGGAAGCAAAACGATCCAAAACGCAAGACTTGAAAAGCTCTAAACTCACATCAGGCCGTGTCTTAAATCATCTGTGAAGCGTTTTATGCTCCAGCTGTATGTATGTGCAACCGTCTGCTTCAATCCTCAAAGGCTTTCATCTGCTTGTTAACCGCTCCTTTCTCTTTTCATGCTTTTTGAAAAACATAAACATGTGTGGTGTTTATACAAACAGGAATAAGTGATGTCTCCAAAAATAGCATCCATTTAAATAGATTTTCTGTGTAGTTTGAGTTTTTAACAGAACATTTTGCTCTGAAATGGTGATCCTATAATGTCGGGGTCAAAGAAGCTGAAATCAAGGATTTATTCTGGAAGGCAGTTGACTCATTTACAACAACAGAACAGGACAGAAGCACCCTAAAAACATGTGACTGTATATGAAACATTCTTGGTTAAAGGTATGGTGGAGGATGTTTCTGAATTTCAGGAAAGAACCGCCCTCTTCACGTTTAAAAAAAATGCGAATGAGAGAGGACGCCCAGATATCCTCGTGCACGCTCTGTTTACAAGTACCTGCTGCTAACTTCTTATAGCAGTAATCTGAAATGAATTTCTCCAAATAGCATGCCGAACTTTAGCTTACCTGTCGAGCAGAAAACCGGCGACAGAGGCGTCTGTGGGGAGCCCAACCTTCGCACGTGCAGGAAATGAAAACTACACAGCAACGAGCACTAACTGGTGCAGTGAGGAACATCTGAGGAGAATGCAGAAACGAGTATAACTGGGTTAAGAACTGTCCAACACATTATTGAAACTGGTCTGATGAGTCCAGATGGACCCTGTTCCAGAGTGATGGTGCATCAGGCTAAGAAGATAGGCAGATGAAGTGATGCACCCATCATGCCTAGTACCTACTGGATAAGCCTGTGGGGGCAGTGTTATGATCTGGGACTGCTGTAGTTGGTCAGGTCCAGGTTCAGCAACAGGATGTGCTCCAAAGATGAGGTCAGCTGACTACCTGAATATACTGAATGACCAGGTTATTCCATCTTCCCTGACGGCACGGGTATATTGCAAGATGACAATGCCAGGATTCCTAGGGCTCAAATGGTGAAAGAGTGATTCAGGGAGCATGAGACATCATTTTCACACATGGATCGGTCACCTCAGAGTCCAGACCTTAACCCCATTGAGAATCTTTGGGATTTAATTCCATGCTGTAGTTCTTTTTTAAAACACAGAGCAGTTTTGTTTACCTGTTTTCCCGCTACGTTTCGTTTGCGGCTGCAGACTTCCTCAGAGCTGACTCTGATGGTGGCGTCACTTCCTTCTCCGTTTATCCGTGGGCAGCAGAGGACGTTGTCGCCCTCTGCTGCCCGCTCTCCCCTCTCCGACGATGCAGTCCCATGCACGATCCAACGAGTAAACTCCATCGTCCCTGTTCATAGTCCCACATCCATGTCTCCTTATCTCTATAGCTTCTTTTACCCATGTTTTGTTGTTCGGTGTTTATGATCCTTGTGTTGTCCCAGTCCATTATATGGTTTTCTCTTGTGCAGTGATCTGTTACGGCTGACTTCTTTATTGTGCTTTCTGCTTCTTATTTTGCTGCTCTTGTGTGTTTTCGACTTGCCTCTTTCTCGCACTCCTTTCTATGTTCTATTGTTCGTGTGTTGAGTTGGTGTCCGGTTTCTCCTCCCAACATTAGCAGCCGCAAACGAAAGGTAGCGGGAAAACAGGTAAACAAAACTGCTCTGTGTTTTAAAAAAGAACTACAGCATGGAATTAGAGATACGACACGGCAAGAACACACCTAAGATCTTTGGGATTTGCTGGAGAAGGCTCGGTGCAGCGGTCAGACTCTACCATCGTCAATGCAAGATCTAGGTGACAAATTAATGCAACACTGGATGGAAATAAATCTTGTGACATTGCAGAAGCGTCTCGCTATGATTCCACAATGATGTGTGCAATAATGAAAGCTATTAGAGTGACTTTTTTTTTCTTTTTTGGGGTGGTGCATGCTCATGCTCAATAGTCAGTTTTCAAACAAAAAGCGACAAACGAATGCTGAAGCAAATTTTTACCCCCAAGAAATATAAATACAAAGTAAAGTTTGTTGCCATCGCTCAATATACCGTACACAGAAACTCAATGTTTGGCTAAGTTTGCTTAAAGCTGAACAGTGACTATAACATAAACAAATCAATCATTGAATCAATCAATCAATAAAAATCAGATGAAATAGAAAGCATAGATAAAAAACGTTTCATAAGTAGAAATGATAGTTAAAATATATATACATAAATATATATATATATATATACATATATATTATATATATATATATATATATATATATATATATATATATATATATTAATAGTACATTGGAGTTGGGGAAAGTGGCCCGATGAGGGACCCAGCGAAACCTAAACACTTAGGAAAATGTATCAGGATTCTTCTGAAAAGATATTTACTTGTAGGAATAAAGTTTTCTATTTTAATTTGTTCTCAGAAGTAATTTTCGTTTTCTCTGAAGGCTCAGTGTCTGTTTAAATTAGGTTCACTATTTGTCCTTTCCTCTTATTCAGACTCTTTAGAAGTTCTCACAAAGGTCAACCAAACGATGTGAATTTGCATGTCAGCGTAGCAACAAGAGTTTTGGGTTAATCACTTGGCCATTCCAAGGATCATCGCTAAAGGAGTGCCTCTTTGGTTTGGCTTGGCTTCTCGTGCATTTTTAAGCCTTTTTTTCCCTCTTTTCTTTCCCCATTAGGACATGGACTGCTGTCTCAAAGCGCTTTGCAGCTTAACAGCCAAGATGCGTATGTAGCCGCTGGGTACCATGGCAGTCAAGCTCTGACACTTGGGGAAACAATTGCAGCTCGCAGCGGGCAAGTCGGAGGGGCAGTTCACAGCTACAACCAGGTGAGTGCTTCTGTTAGCTGCTGTTCTCTCTGATTTTGTCCCTTCGTCACCTGTTTCCACAACTCTTTTTGGCTTTGCTCCTCTCCTGCTTTTGTTTCCCTCCTCTTCCAATTCGTGACCCCTCTTTTCCTCCCACGTCTCACGTTTTTGCACTCTTGTCTTCAACCTCGCTAGGGGACATCCAGTCGTGTAGCGGCCCAGTTAGTGGGCACAGACTGTCCCTCGCAGTCCCAGAGAGAGTCGTTTGCCCAGCAGGCCCTTGGCAGCGCCCTACACATGTCCACTGATGGTGGACCTGCTCCTGCTGGACCATCCATGTATTACTCCTGTGCCACTTTGCCAGCACAGGTACAAACTCTCACACTCAAAATGTGCAGATCAGAGATTTTTTTCATTGTATTACAGTTTTATTCACGACTTGTTGCTTTTGCTTGTCTTGCACTCTCATCAAATCTGCTGGGATGATGAAATCCTAATTTGCAGATATTTAATTTACATCTCCATTAGGCTCACTCTAACAGTATAAGCTAAGAATTCAGAGCTAATGTAATTTGGCGACCAGCTGTATTTTTTTTTTTTTGCTCGTTTTTTACTTAAAAGACAAAATTCATTTTTAACATGACTGACAGAATAAATCTTCAACTTCATTGCAGCGTGTGAGCTCCCCTCTGCAGGCAGTGGGATCCCCTACCAAGCTGCAGCGCCTCGGATCAGCCTCTGCCGACATGCCCAGCTACGCCACGCTGCAGAGAGTCTCCTCACCCAAACAGTCACCCAGCAGACTTGCCAAGTCCTACAGGTTGGTTTATTCACACAGGCCTCTGTGTTGGGAACACATTACATAAACACGTTGCCTAAAGTACAAAGAGTTCATCCGAGGGACGTCGGCATGGTTGCAGATCGATATAAATGACTCAACAGTTACATCACATCTACAATTCGATCCTTTTCCTGGTTTCTGGCACACAATTTATATAAAACAGCTTCAAAGCTAATTTTGTCCTAAAAAAAAAGGTAAAACATTATTTTAAAACGGACAACATGCAGCTCACCTGTTGAGGCATTCCATCAGTTTGAGTCTTTTCTAACTGTTGTTGAACTATTTATTTTATAGAGGAGACCAACAGTCAGTTGAAGCAGCAGACTGTTGGTGGGCCAGGATTGACAAACTCATGCTGTTTAACCAAATGTAGTTCAAACCCACAGCATTTTATTTATGGCTCACGCAGAGAGCCCACAGCTAATGTAAAATGTGTAATGGGATATTGTAATGTATGTACAGGTGGAACATGGTGCATTTAGTACAGTAATACTGAACCAGACTGAGAGACCATCCAAAGGCTCATGAACCTGTTGCAGGTGTTTTGGATTCATTAGTGTTACGGTTGCCAGTCTGGCCTGTGAAGAACAGGAGCCAGGATCACCCAGCTCTAGTGAATAAGCCTGACTCCGCCCCTCCTCCTCCTCTCCCCCGGGCTGCTGAGGAGCACAGCTGAGCTAAATCTTCCTGATGAGCAAACACCTGCATAAAAGGGCTGTGCCTTCAGCAATCTGGGAGGCGACTTTGAGTTTTTTTTTATGTATTTTTTTATTTTTTCCCCTGTTTGATTTTGTTTTGTGAGCGCTGTTCCAGACCACACTAGTTGGTGGCGGTAATGCGCCATTCGTTGTTTGCCAACCGCCAATAAAACACCAAAAGAAGAAGAAGAAGTCTGGGAGGCAGCAGTGCAGGGGTTCTGCTGTCCTCCTGGGTTTTATTTGGTTTTAACCCCTTTTTGGTTGCATTCGTTTGGATTCTTTGGAGTTTTAAACTGCGGTAGTGTTTAACTCTTGGTGATATGTTTTTTAAAGCTCAACTGTATTTGGTGCAATTTTACTGACTTTGGTTTTTAAACACCTTCGTGTGGTAAAGCTTTTAAAATAAGGTTTTACCAGGTGTTTTAATCAGTAAATTGTTTGGGACTTTTTTTCACCTTTGGGATTTTAAAACACCTTCTGTTCGGTTAAACTTTCAATCTAAGTTTTAACCAGGTGTTTTATAGTTGATCATTTGGCTGTGTAATGTTAACCTTTAGAGAGATCTGTTTGCTTGTGTTTTAATACCTTTTTGTTACAAATAAACCCATTTTAAACTCCTCCGCCAGTTCTTATGTTACCCCCATCCTTCACATTTTTACAACACCCGTCGGGGACGTAACAATTAGCTTATGTAATGAGTTAAATTACATGTTATTTAATAAGCCATAAGATATAGGATTCCATAGGAAATATGAAATCAACCTTATGGATCTGTAGGTACTGTTTAACCAGAAGATCAGAACTTTTTATTGCAGGGATTAGGTAACAGCTTCGTATTAACTCAGAGACAACAGAAGAGAGAGTCAAGTTTAAAAGTTTAAAGATTTATTACTAAAAAAATTAAAACTAGACTTACTTTAACACTAAATGTATGCTGTAACTAAGGTGAATGAGACGGAGAACGGTGTAATGTGGAATGTTGCTCAGAACCAGCAAATCTGAAGAAACGATTAGTTCTGGTGGGAAATGAAGGTGACGTCTTCGCATTAAGCTTTGGTTAAGAGATTCATAAACACATTTGACGCCATTTTGTCGGCCTACATACCCTTTTGGAAGTCCCCGTTAGATCAGGAATGTCGAGGTCCAGCTGGACCTTCTCTGGAACCGAAGCCGGTAGGAAAAGCAGCGTTTGCCGACCAGACCAGTCTGTGAGATACTTCCGGGTCACAACGGTTTTGTTGGCATCTAGTGAGACCCAAACCTGGGTCGTGATGGCTCAGCTTTTATTCTGAAAGGAACCGTTGCAGCAGTTGGAACAGCAACAGATTTTATCCAGCTTGTCGTTGGTTCTTTTGGCTGAAGAGGAAAGTTACGGATTGGCCACTTCGACAACTTCTCTAGAGCGCTTAGAACTGGCGTTAGAGATGACGTGGGCATAGTTTTATACTTTGGATGTTTAGATTTATGGTCGAATGAAAAGATGACAGATTTACCAAGCACCACCAAAACCACGCCTCCGTCAGATCTGGCAGATTCTGATTGGATCAGTAAAGCAATGTGTGATGTCTTAATGCTACGTGAGATCAGTCCTAGTGGAAACATTTAAAGTCATATTACTTATTTTATTCTATAGGATTACAATAAAGTAATTAATACTTTGATTTCACAGATTGGTCACATCATATTATTGACTAACACTTTGTTTGATTAGCTTTATTAAAATAGAGTTCTTTGATTTATTAAAAGGAGAGAGTCCTTTTCTTCATTCTTCTCTTGAGCTGGAAAGAAAGCAGTTTAGGAGCAAATGCATGAGACCTTGAGGCCATATCTCATGCAGACCAGTTCTGTATCAGAGGAGAGGGGGAAAATGACTTATGGTGGAAAACAGTCATTTCATTCAGTTACACTTAGAGTGTGAAACTTTGAGTCTAGAATTTTAAACCTTTTCAAAATATTCAGAATGTGGGGTTTTCATAGGCTGTAAGCAATAATCACCACAGTTATGACAAATGAAGGCTTGAAATATCTGGGATTGCACGGGGCTGCATCTCATATATTTGCTCACCTTTTAAGTAGAATTACGGAAATAAACCGTCTTTTTCACCATATTCTAATTTTCGTGTTTCACCTGTATGATTAAATCATGCTTTTGGGGGGGGGGGGGGTTGAGCATTGTGAGCCATTGTGTGTGTGTGTGTGTGTGTGTGTGTTGTAACCATTGACTATGTATACGGAGGTTGTAATGCTGTCTGTGATCTCCGATCTGCTGTTTTGTACATTCTTCACTTGAAATATGGGAGCCCCCCCGTAAACGAGATGTTTCATCTCAAGGGGTTAATCCTCCTTATAAAGATATGTCAATAATATAAATAAATAAATAATATTTACCCAATCCTGCAAAGCGGATCCTTCACCTGCTACAGGTTGGTACCTGATTGGTAAAATTCAATTTGTCATTAAAGTAAAAAAACAACAGCAACACAACAATGTTTTTAACCGTAGATGTTTGCCACAATCGTTTACCACATAACAGTGTGTTTACTGTGTTTGTCAGCTGTATACATTCATTTATTCTATTTAGTTTTTATTCTTTAAATCTATATTTAGGTTGGTTGTTTAGACCCTAACAGCTCTCAGTCAATGTAAGGAACTAATTTCATTTAAGACGTTTACTTCAAATGTATCACAGCCGATCTGTGTCCAGTTTTTATTAAACTGCATCATAACAGGAACATTTCAGTCAAATGTAATTCAGCATTCAGACTCATTTATTCCAGTGAGTCCCTGAAGCCCAAATCCAGCGTTTGTTTCATATTTATATAATTTTCCTTAAAGTGTTCGATGAGAACTCCAACACCTGTCCCTCCTCTCCTGCAGCACTTCATCACCCATCAATATTGTAGCATCGGGGATCGCCGGCTCCTCCTCCCCTCTTTCAACGGCTGCCTCCCCCGGGGGAAACCATGCCTCTTCACCCATCCACCAGCTCAGCTCGGCAGTGGGAAGCTACGCCACGCTGTCTCCCACCAAGCGCATGCTGCATCACATCAGTGGAGACAGCTATAAGATTTCCCACGAGCTTTACGCCAACGCAACCCTGAAAAGGCCAGGTAGCCTGGCAGGTAGAGGTCAATGCAAAACCCTTACTATCTTTGTGTGTGGCTGTCGGTGGTGTCGTGGATTCATTCGCCCGCTGTCATCGTGGTTTGTTTTCAGCTTCATGTTTGTGTTTGACTTGAAGCCTATTTTCATCAACAATCTCATCAAATTATGGAATTTCTTAAGGGCCTGCTTTAATTTGAGTTCCTGCTGGTTAGTGTGAAATGAAGCCACTCTCCATTCTTGTGTGTGTAAAAATCAACAGCTTCAGGACAAAGTTAGGGGAGAAAACACATGTTATCTAATTTTTGAAATTATTAGCTGAAGGTTTTTTTTTAATTCACAATATTGCCAAGAAATAACAATTCATGATTAGTTCATTTTTTAGAGGTCCTTCACCGAGAAGCCATGTGAAAATAATCAGTCGCTCTGACTTTTTCATGCAGGCTGAACGTGAAAATAGTCTCCTACACATATCTCCTGCATTAGCTTTTGATAGAAAATTGACGGTGAAACTCTAGGATTTGACAAGCCTGACAGATCTACGTCACACTGTCACTTAACATTCATGGGCTCACCCATCTTGATTCACAACGTGGAAGGCTGTTGTTGGTTTAGCGTCCAGGGGATAGTAGTGAATGTCTCAGCTAGTAGAAGCTAATCGTTAGCATTAGCAACTCCACCTCACAGCAGAACTCCTCCAGGCTTGTGTTATTTGTGGACATAAAACCTCAATGTTGCAGAGCAATTGAAGCCAGTGACAGAATGGATTTCTTGTTAACCAATCAGAAGTGAGATCTCCAAATATCAGGAAATAAGAATCTAAATCCTGTCCTCCAGATGACAAGCTACTTTCTCCTCTGACCGTATTCTCTCTGCTGAAACAGGCGCACCGGAGCATTTTGTCTCCAGAGTACGAGTTACAAGGCATTAGTTCCTACTATAGAGTATTGCAAATGCAATAACAATATGACTGAAGGACCCAGTCTTCAAATACTTAACTTTGTCCTGAGATTTTAAGAATATAGAAACAACGATGTCTGTTAGGATCAAGTTCTGTATTTTATTAATGTCACTGTTACATAACAAAAATGGACAACATGCAATAATTTGCTAGTAATTTAGAAACAACAGATTGAATGTGTATTTATTCATTTAACTCACGGCATAACAGTAAAGGTCCATATTTGTGACAAAGTATAAACCCCTTTACAGTTAAATGCTTCAGATCAGCAAACACATTTTAATATCAGGCACAGATAACCTGAGTAAATACAGACTGCAGATTTCAAAGGATGTCATGTTTCTCTACCAACTCTTTTTCTTTGTTTTTGACCACCTAACAGTCTAATCTGGACCCTGTTTACCTCTCCAGGCTCCAGAGGCTCCTACAGCAGCCAGCACAGTCACCTGGGCTCTGAACTGCGACCCCTTCAGTCTCCCGAACATCACATTGGCCCCATCTATGAAGACAGAGTCTACACCAAACCCAGCCTCAGAGGACAAGGTGAACGCAGATTTACTGGCAGAGGTTGTGTGTCTAGGGCACAGAGGGGATGTCTACAAATACTGAGTCTACAAAATAAAATCCCACAAGAGGAACAGACAGGATGGAGCCTGAGCAGGAAATCAACACATGATGGAGACCAACAGATAAAAAATGCAGAATTTTACTTCATGATCTACTAAATTTAACAGATTCTAACAAAAGTACGAGGTCATGTAAACGCTACACGAGGGTCAATGCAATTAAAATGTGATATTCAGTCACTCAAACAAAACTAGATCGAACGTTAAGCACATGCTCCTCCAATTTCGCCCAATCAGAGCAGAGCTCCACCTGCACAGACTAGTGTATTTAGATATAAGAACTGGTTATTTGGCGATTAGTGTTGCAGTTGGGTCATCGCCATCTTGTGGAAACAAAAACGGTCTAATGAGTAAAACTGTTAGAGCAAATACTCTAATTAAACAAATGTAAATTTTAATCAGTGTTTCATATACAAATGTGACATTTTCAGGAGGGATTTGATTATTGGGAAGGTTTTAAGGAAGTTTTGCGTTGATTTAAATGGATGAGCACATTTTTGAATAGTCTATAATAGCCATCAATTATCTCTAAATGAAAAAAAAAGTCTTGGCCCACATGCCACCATCTTATTTTTAGATTTCTCATCTGCCTGTTATACTAATATCCAGCTTCGTGTTTTGGCTCGGAAATTGCTTATTGATCTTCTTCTTGATTTAGATTTAAGAGTCTTGGTAGTGGATCTTCCAACCTGTGATGTTTGGAGAAAATGGCTTTTCCATCAGAACACCCCTCTTCCCTCACTGGCAGTGCTCTGAGCTCAGTCTGTCTCTGGTTTTTACCAATACCTGTAGGAGCAAAGGTAGTAATTGGTACTCCTTATAGATGAATCTGGCACCAGATGGGATTGGAAAAGACAATTCTGGACCTGTTTATTCACCGAGATCTGGAAAGAAATTTAGATTTACATAAAATTGATTTAAATGCAATAGAAATATATTTGTATTTATTTTGTTTTTAGGTTATAACAAATCAAGGCTTTAAATATCTGGCTCTGGATGTAACGAGTCTATCTCATATATTAGTTTCACCTTTTAAGTTGAATTAGTGACATAAAAGAACTTTTGCACCGTAGGGGCAGCAGTAGCTCAGGTGGTAGAGCGGGTTGCCTCATGATCGGAGGGTCATGCACTCGATTTCAGCTCCCGCCAGGGGTATCCTGCTGTTGTGTCCTTGGGCAAGACACTTCACCCAACTTGCCTGTGTTAGTGGTGGTCAGAGGGGCCGACGGCACCAAAGGCAGCCTCGCCTCTGTCAGACCTCCCCAGGGCGGCTGTGGCTACAAGTAGCTTACCATCACTAGCAGTGTGTGAATGTGAGAGTGTGTGAAAGCGTCTTTGGGTGTCTAGAAAAGCGCTAGATAAGTTCAATGCATTATTATTATTCTGTTTTTTGAGTTTCACTTGTATAACCTGACAGAAAAGGATAGAAACTGGTTTTAAAATGCAAAATACATTTGTGAGGGTGCTTCCAAAAATTCCACAAAGGTTTTCGATCTTCTCAGGCGAGCTTCAGGGCCTCAGTCGCATCAGGTCCACAAATCTCCTCTCAAAATCATCACAGAAACCAGGAACCTGTCTTGAACCCTTTGAATTTCCCTTACAGAAAGTCAGAAAGTGAAAGAAAGGGTGACAGCTTTGGTTAGCGACTAATTTGTGAAAATACACTGTTTATCAAAGTATATTAAATCTTGTGGGTGCATTCACACCTGGGTCGGCCCAGTCGCACACGGCCAGGTTTTATTCACACAGTCTTCTCGGGAATGTGGAAATCTCCAAGCACGTGGGCGGGGCAAAAGATGTGTGGAGAAGTCCATGGTGTTTTAATTAAAAAATGCGGCCGGGAGCAGAGTTGCTTTTGGAGACTGACTCTGATATTGCTTCCTGCTCTCTCACTGAGACTGCTGTGTGTGCTCCTCACAGCAGTCTGTCCTCACGCTGGAGCAGCAGCTCCCAGCTAAAGTCAGAGGAGATGTTTACTCCCCGATGTCCAGACTGATAATTGTGCATGCAGGAAGCCCCTGCTGCCCGATTCTATCCACCTATCAGAGGCTTCCCTCTAAAGGTAGGCCTTAATTTCCCAGCTAATCGGTCGGCAGTGGGTGTTTTGGGTCAGGCCATGCTGAAGAAAACTGCCAGGAGAGGTCAGCTGAGCACGGAAAACACACACAGCACAATATATCATACCAGGGCTGGGCCATGCTGACCCAGATGTGAAAGCACCATAAGTGAATCATTTAGTTCTGTAGAGAAGATGTTCTTACATTTAATTAGAAACCATAGAATGTGAAATATCATAAGATATGAAACATCACCTTAATGGTCTTTGAACAAATTTAACCAGAAGATTGGATCTTTTTATTGCAGGGATTGAGCAACACTTCGTATCAACTCCAAGAAAGAGAGAGAGAGTCAGGTTTAAAAAGTTAAAAGATTTTTTTCTAAAAACATTAAACAAGACTAACTTTAAACACTAAGTTTATGATGAACTAAGGTGTGTGTGTGAAATATGTTCAGAACCAGCAAATCCAGACAAACGATTAGTTCTGATGGGAGTGAGATGGTGTTTCGCTCTAAGCTTGGTTTGGAGATTATAACACACATTGAGACTCCATCTGTCGGTCTACGTTCCCAGCGGAAGTCCCTGTTTGGATCAGGAGGTGTCGAGGTCCAGTTTGGACCTTGTCTGGAACCGAAGCCTGTAGCAAAGCTGCAGTTGCCGACCAGTCCCGTCTTGAGATACTCCCAGGTCACGGCAGTTTAATTGGCAGCTAGAGAGACCCTGAAGGGTCATGATGGTTAAGCTTTTATTCTGAAGGAACTGTTGCGGCAGGTGGAACATGCAACAGATTTAATCCAGCTTGTCGTTAGGTTCTTTCGGCTGAAGAGGAAAGTTACGGATTGGCCACTCCGACACTTTCTCTAGAACGCTTCGAACTGAAGTTAAGATGACGTGTGGCATAGTTTTATAATTTGGATGTTTTGATTCATGGTCGAATCAGAATTTGCCACAAAAGGGGATTTACCAAGCACCAACAAAACCACGCCTCACGTCAGATCTGGAAGGTTCTGATTGGATCAGCAAAAGGAAATATGTCATGTGACTTAGCATTACATGTGATCAGTCTAGTGCCTAGTATTTAAAGTTTTATTACTTATTAAATACTATCAAAGGATTACAATATCAACTAATTAATATTCTCATTTCACAGATTGAACATTAGCTTCACATGATTATTTGGACTAACATACGTTATTTGATTATTATTTAAAGAGAAATAGTTCTGTTTCAAAAAGAGTTCGTCTTTCTTGTGCTGCCCGGGGAAGCAACAGTTTAGATAAGAGCACAGAGCATGAGTGGCCTTGACCCATATCTTGTAGATTAGGTTTGTGTCAGAAACTTATGGTTTTGCTTGGGCAGAGCAAATAGAGCAGGGCCTTTAGGTCAGAAATGGACAATTCATCACGCTACAGTTCTGTAGAGAGATTGTGGTAAATTAAGTGTTCACTAAGGAACATCTGAGGACCTTGTGATCATTAGGTGATGGTGGTTAGACACAGGAAAGACCAAGCAAGAAAGATGAGCTAAAACCAGCTTCAGTATATTCCAATCCATACTCTAAATCAACGTCATGTAGAAATCAGTGAGTAAAAGTCTCCTTGTGATATTTTAAATAAAGTGATGGATGTAATAAACAGTGTGAAGAGAGAGGTAAATGTCCCAGTCTAGTCCCAGTCAGGCAGTCATGGTTTAACGGTGTGGTGGTATCTTCAAGGCTAATGTACATGAGAGATTGTTTCTGATCATGCCGTGCTAATAACAAGACCAGGTAGGCAGATCCACACGGGGCCTCAGTGCCAATTTGTCTTTCAGTCACAGTCTGTTAGCTAAATTAGTTTCAAAGATGAAAATTAATCTCAATTAATCCCTTGGGCATCAGATTGGGTGCTTCGCAATCAACATAAATCAGCCGTGTCCTAAAATGTTGTCGACGCGGTACCGGTGGCTTGGCCGCCTCACTGGTAGATGCACTAGGAGAGCGAGTAATTAAGCTCTGTTTTATTCAAGATATCTGACCTTTAGCTTCAGTTTATTTTGATATGTGTGATTTGTGCTAATAAAACCTGTTTTAGAGAAGAAAAAAAACTCTAAATTCAATCATTTCTTTGTTGAAGTCTCATCATGTTTTAAGGTCAATTTAATTAGTTTAAGGTGGTTAACTGGGTATGGAACATGTTGGGTCATGGTGATTATCCTTTTTTAAACACAAAGACAGGACCTAATTGTATTCCTTAACTCTTAGAGGTCCCTCGTGCATTTTTTTTGCCCAGGCGGTCATGTTTTTTTGAATAACTTTGCCTGTGCTGATGCAATTCTTTTTAGTTTTTGCTCTGGTGGGTGTTTTTGGGGAAGTTTAGCAAAAATAAAATGCCCCCCCCCCCCCCCCCCCCCCACTCCTTTTCAAACATTGCATAGAAAAAACAGGAACACTGACATTTCAGTTGGCAATAAATAATGTTTTAGAACATATGGTAGGCAGATGTCACTCAGGAGTGAAAACATGTTTAAATACAGTTTGTGAGCATTAGGCTGCCCACAGATGTGCCTCATTTTTAATCAGCCCTACTGAAGAGGTACAGTATATCACTGATGCAGATATTTAAAGAAATGGTAAAATCACGCTGATATCGGCTGAACAATGTCGGCCCATCCCTAGTCCAAATGTGCATGTTCTTTGGGAAGGTGACAAAACAGCTTGGCTCACAATCAGCTCTAAGTTGTTTTCATAGGCTTGTTTTTTTAGGAAGAGATAAAATTCCTTTTATGTTTTTTTTTCACCCTTTTCAGTGTCTGACAAATGGAAATCAGCATTCGGTTTATTCTGAGTTAGAAGCTTAAGATTCAGTGTCACTTATGCTTCAGTTGATCCAAAAAGCACGGAAGCGTTTAGGCTATGCGCCAGGCGTATTCTTACCGGCATTTGTTTTATGTTTATTTATTTTAAACAGCTCAAGTTCTTTTTCGTTTTTTTATTTCAGTTGTTCAGCTCCTGTCTGTTTACCATGTTTATGTTTTAATGAGTTTTATCTGAAGTCCTTGAAGTTTTTAGAATGTTTTGTTATGTACTTGTCTCATAATTTATTTATTTTTTTCTTTTTGTCCATTGGTGCTGGTGTTGGCGCTCTCTACTACTCCTGCTTCCATTTCCTTGGGCTGGGTTTGTGTTTGGTTGTGATTTATTTTTCCTCCACTACCCGCCCACTCACACCTTGCTACTCAAACCCCAGTGGTGAACCAGTTGTACCAAGAAGTCCTCAATTATCTGTTTTATCCTTACACTCCTGTTCCCACTCTAGCCCCATCTTCCCCCGGTGTTGATCCAATCCCCTTGCAGCGAACGGGAAGTCAGAGCACCGCTGCCACCTTCCAGAGAGGCAGCTTTGCCACAGGAAGTGGAGCCGCTGACTACGCCAATCCTTACCGCACTCTTCAGTTCTGCCCATCGACTGAGTCGCCTTACAGCAAGTCAGGCCCCGCCCTCCCACCTGAAGCTGCCCTGGGCCGGTCTCCATCAGTGGACAGCATCCAGAAGGACCCAAGGTGAGACAAGTTACTTGTTCTAGAATCAGCTGATGATGAAGCCCCTTTGCTGCCCCTTTTTCCACATTCAAAGAACTTACTGAGGGCCAGATTCACCAAAGTCCATCTAATTATTCGCAGTTAATCTGGAAAACATCAGGCTTTAATGACTGCATGTTGCTGCCACAGCTTGTAGCAACAGATAATTGACTGTCAAGGTTTGACAGCTGCACTCAATGGACGACTGAATCTGGGCTTTAGTAAGAGGCACACATCATGCCACATCTTTCACTGTCCACTCTAAATGACCCCATGTTGGGCCTTTTTCACGCTGCCTTTTAAATGCCTGCACACTCCTCTAGGTCCAGTTTCAAAAGTTTATCGTCACTCCTAGAAGTGCAGTGCCTCGCTGTCAGCGGCCATCAGTTACGTTCTGTGCAGCCCGGTTGACACGTTTGACACGGAGAGCCTGCACGAAGTCTGCTTTTAGAAAAGCAGAGCTCTGCGTGCTTGTGTGGGTGTGCGGAAGAGACGCGGTGAGATTTCAAACAGAACAGATAGAAATATATCAAAGACAGCTTAATAGCTGTTTGAAAGCCACTTTCTTTGTCCCAGTTAAAATCAAGTTTCGAACTCTAAATATGTCAGCGTTTTCTTTCCCTTCACTTTTTTCCTGACAAATGACTGCACAGACCAGCTGTCAGACATAGAAGTAGCCTGAATTAAGTACTTTTTGACATGTCAGATCAAGCAATATGCATATTTATTTATTTATACACATGTTGCACAATTTTTATGTTTCTATTGAGGGTGTCATTTTGATCTGAAGTGGTTATTATTCTGTACTGTAACAATTAGAGTGGGTGACTCCTGTTCCTGCAGTTTTCATTGCTCTTTCCTTCACCCATCGTCCAAGTGATTACTTCTCTGTGCATATTGCTGTCACGTTGTCTGTTTGCTCACTCTTTAGCCCTGGCATCATTGTTTTGTGCCTTCAACACATCTGCCCTGCTGCATTAATGAAACCTACGTGTAAAAGCATGGCATTTTACTTTGTTTTCCACGTGCACCGTTGATATCAGTGCTGTTACCATTCCAGCTCAGCGAAAAGTTTTTGTGCTTGTTGCATTAAAGTGAGGGTCCTCTCAGATCATACAGTAATATTACGGTTGTGCTCCTTTTCTTCTGCCAAAAAAACCTTTATAAAAAAAAACATAAAAAAAGATGTAAGTCATCTTGTTTTTGCTTTAAAGACCAAGTTCACTTAGAACCCGTTCATTACTTGTTATTTTTTAAATATGATCAGTCACTCTGAGTTATACTGGCAGGATAAATGTTAAAATAATCTTCTACCCCTGATTCCTGGCTGCATCAACTGCCGCTACAAAATAAACGGAGTAATGCTCAGACTAGAAAAAGCCAGTGACATTTGCACATCATATGGTCAAATTAGCATTCGAGGACTCAGCTATATTGGCTTGCGACGGGGAAGGCTGTTGATTTCGTAGCTATGAAAGGGCAGAGCATGGGATTTTCTCAATGTCAAGGCACCTGGCCTCGCAAGGCGATGTCTTGTGAGACCAGGCGCCTTGCTTTACAAGGACACTGTCCTTCCTTGGTCAAAGAAAACGGTTGAATGGAACAGACTTGCATCACGTTACGTCACGTGACACGGGAGATAATGTTATATTTTATACGTATAAGTTTCAATATAAATAAATAACAAGACTTTTACTTTTAAAATTGTGTATATATTTGTTAAATTAAGTATGTAAGCAAGTTACTACCCGCTAGCCACCAAGGCCACAACTACTAAGCAACTAACCAACCATAGATAACTACTTTGGATAAAAAAAATAAAATAAAAAAAACATTTCAGATATCAGCCCAATAGCTCCAGTTATGGGCCATTCCCATCTGTACCGGGTTGGCCCGGGCCGGGTAGCCCCAGTCGGCCCCAGCCTGGCCCGGTTGATTCCACACATCCTTGTCTTAAGCCCATGTGGGCTGATTCTACCCACCAATCAGAGGCTTACTCTAATGGAAGGTGTGAATTTGCTGTCAGCAGTGGGTGTGTTGGCCCTGGTCGGCCTGAAGCAGACCCCCTCGAGAAGAGGGCTGAGAATGAGCCTTGGTTGGCCCGGAAAAATACCAGGCCACCCAGATATGTAAACAACCTACGCTACCCGGCCCGGGCCGACCCGGTACAGATGGGAACGGCCCATTAGTTTACTAACATTTAAACTTGAAATTTGCCCCCGAAGTAGCTACCGGCTTCTGAACATCCTTTTCAAAATGCAACGCTGTATTCTGGGAAATGTTTGACCAGGGCTAGGCTACAAAACACCTCCCGTGTATCCTTGCTCAGCTAGCTAAACATCCAACCAACGGAGAACAGACGCCTTGTTAGAACATGAACAATGGAACACACCTTGGCAATCCCTGATGACTTATCTCCTAGGCAACTGGGGTGGGACCAAGACATCAAGGCGAGGTTCCTTGGCATTGAGAAACACCCAATTTCTCGGCTAGTAGAAGCTAAATGTTAGCATTAGCAACTCCACAATACGGTAGAACTCCTTCCGGCTTGTGTTATTTGTGGAGATAAAACATTAATGTTGCAGAGGCTATCCAAGGCGAGATGTCAAAATATCAGGAAATAAATTGTAAATGGCCTTTATTTGTAAAGCGCCTACTTGGTGTTCTACAAGGTGATTCACAACACAATCAGTCATCCACACATTCACACAAACATTCACACGCAGGTGGGGATGAGCTACGATGTAACCACAGCTGCCCTGGGGCGCACTGACAGAGGCGAGGCTGCCGAGCACAGGCGCCACCGGTCCCTCCCACCACCAGCAGGCGAAGCAGGTTAAGTGTCTTGCCCAAGGACACAACAGCAGAATTCTCTGGTCGGAGCCGGGATTGAACCTGCAACCTTCCGATTACTGGACAACTCGTTCCACCTCCTGAGCAACTGCTGTCCTTGTCTGACTTCAAATCCTGCTGTCTGCTGCTCACCTCTGCTCTAGTTGTCTTCTAGCTCCTGAAACAGGAGCACCAGAGCTATTTTCCCACAGAGATCGACTCATATGGCATTCATTTATAGCCAAGAAATCTAGACCTACAGTAGTGAAAGCAAAATGATTTTGCTCTGCTTGTCGGTCAAACCACGCTTCATAGGAAACTTAGCAGGTCTACCATTGTGTCTTGCCAATCACTCTATCGGTTTGGTGGACGGGATTTTGCAATGGAGCGGAACAACTAAAATGGAGGCGACTCGTTTGATCAACTTTGGCACTATTTAGACTTGGGCCTATCTTTGAGTAAAGAGCAGATGTACTGAAGTCCTTTCTTTAGAAAAAGGATGTATTTGCATCTTTTTCAACCGTGTGGCCGACTGCCCCGTTGACTGACATCCGTAGCGGTGAGTGTTATGTTGTTCATAGTCCAAATAACATGTGGAGACAGTTTGAAAAACAGGGGTTAGGGTTAGGGTTAGATCTCGCTCCACGACTGAGCTCTGTCTATGGGTAGTGTCCAAACTATATTTTCACATTTATAGCATTGCTTGCCAGGGTAAAAGACCACTGAAAATGAGTGAACTTGGTCTTTAAATTGTCGGATTGATGTATATTTTTGTGACGCTCCAATTTGATACTCCCTGTTTAGATACTCTAGTACCACGTCTTCCTCATAAGGTAAAAACTGACCATTTATAATCAAAAGAATCACCAAATTCTTCATTACATGTGTAAAATGTCCCTATTTGCACCCAAACTTACCTATATTTTACAAAAAGCACTATGTGGGTCAGAATAAAATTTGCTAAATGAAGAGAACAAGAAGACAGTTGTTTTGTTGTATGCAGAGACCCTCTCTTTACCAGACAAACCTGTCATGTTTTTGCCACTTTTTCGTGTGCATGTTTTTCACCCTTCCACCACCATTGCCTGGTAACCAAATACTGAGAGAGAAAGATGAGTCTAGTGACGACATATTGCCTTCTATTCACTAATTATCACAATTATGACAATTACTGAATAATTTGTTGCCAGACAGCCAACATATACTTCTCTCTTGTTTCTCTCTGCCTGTCCCCCCTTGATAGGTACGACCCTGAATTCCTTGTGTGGAATCAAAATCAAGCCGAGCAAAGAATGACAAAGTAATCCTACTATTTATTTTTACATATGTGCGTTTTGTCTATCTATTTTACCTTTGTCTCATTCACTGAATCTCTCCATCTTTTCTATATGGCACCAGTATCTAATGCAGATTTTAATGTTAATGGCAGCATGACAGCATTTCACGTTTGTATTGTCACCCATTTATTGATCCAGTCAACAAGGTTCACTTTTATATTCTAACGTTTAGCTGAATTTTAGAAAGTAGATCAGGAATCAGTGCAAGACCAGGAAATCAGAAAAAGCCAATGCAGGTATTAACGGGCAGCCTCTGTTTTTGGGTGAGGCAATATTATTCATTCTCTCCTTTGACTTCTCATCTTTCCATTCATCCCTCCATCCATTATCTTCTTGTTGGTGAACTCATTCACTCGTTTGTGTTCATCGTCTTTTTGTGTCGGCTGTCTTTATGTGGCTGGCAAGTTTTATTTTAATGCCTGACTTTGATTTAACTTTTCATTTCCAACAGAGAGCAAAGAATGCTATACTTGAAAATGTAACTTCTGCTCAAAGTGGCGCTATCTATCCCTTAATGCTGCAGAGTATACAATAAGCCAGCCACATTTATAGTCTAGCTGTTATTGTTTAATAAAACAGTTTGCAAAGCTTTGGGATATGAAGCACATGTGAGTCGACCAGTAGCAGGAGCATGACCTTAGTAAAAACCGTTGGTATAAATCATGATGGAGGACATGCTGCTCAAATGCCATGGTATTTCTAGGAATGCAGTAGTGAACATGTCTTCAATCAACCAAGAATAGAATAGAATAGAACAGAATAGAATAGAATAGAGTAGACATTATTGATCCCACAGTGGGGAAATTAATTTGTTACTGCACTTAAAAGAATAATTTGAAGAAGAATAATAACAAAGGCACATGTATACACACACATAGGCAGTAAGCTAGTATTGTAACATTCGACCACTAAAAACCACAAGTAAGAAGTGAAAAACTTGGATTCCAGAACTTGGCAGCATACTGTAAGGGACACAGACAAACAATGTAAATCTGGTATTGCACAAGTATTGATCACATACTGAGTATTTCATTAGTGTTATTGCATACCGGGATAATGCCAGTACAGCTTAAACTGAGGAGTTATACACTCTTACAGCAGAGGGGATGAATGACCTACGATAGCGTTCTGTTTAACATCTGGGATGTCTCAGTCTGCCTCTGAAGGAGCTGTCCATGGTCTCCACAGTGGAATGCAGTGGGTGGGAGGTTTTTTTTTTATAATGGAGGTCATCTTCCCCAGCATCCTCCTTTTCATAAGAAGCAAGAAAATTCCCTTTCAAATCATTTATTGAATCAAGAATCTGCATAACTATCTTGCCATGTGAAAGGGCTTAACTAAACGTACTTTACACAACACTAAATCAAATTGTTAGCTTTTAAAAAAGAAGAGAACAAATTCTTATTGCTTGGGCAAAAGCATAAGTAGCACAGCTAGCCCAGCAGCCATTATAGGGAATTAGAAAAGTATTTTAAAACTCCCATGAGTGATTGCTTCTAAGTAAGGTAGTGACACATCCATTTTTCCATTTATTGTTTTTTGACCATGTGGCAGCCATTTAAGCCCAGATCACATTGTGTTTTGGCTGTTGCACAGGAATGCTCATGTCATATTGTGAGAACTCCAGAAAGGTGGCACATTAAACGGCCCAAGATTTCAGGGTGCCCAACTGCACAACGCCTTGCTCTAGCCGGACACGTTGCATCACGAGCACACACCCCAAAAAGCATACGTTACTAAAAGTTGACAGCTAACCAAATCAACAATGAAGAGAGAAAAAAGCACTGCTGTTAACACTTATTTTATTACACTCCAAACCAAACTCTAAAAAGAAGCGGTCCTCATGTTCTTGCGTGTAGCTACCATTGCTGCTAATGTTGCTATTTCTACTCTCGTATTGTACTCCCATCACTAGTTGTTTGGGTCACACCCTGGGTGTATTTTCATTGGTTTCATTGCATACGGGAGTCTTGGGTTTTCAGGCAATGCTTGAAGACTGTTGGAGGCTGACTTTGGTCCAGAGGGTGCTCAATAAAGTCACACTGGACGGCCACAGCCTTTCCAATCACCCCCGCGTTCACCGTTTTTTGTCACGATTCTGTTCACGATGAGAGATTTGTCTTGGAAGGCTGAAAAACGTTTGGTGCGGTGTGGGCATTAGTCGGATGATATTTGTGTAGTGTTGTTGCTGTGAGTTGATTTAACACAGAAAACTTTCTAGTTTAACTAAATGAAAGCTGTTTGTCCACAGCCCCTATAAGATAACTTTTTGTGCACCTGTGATCATTATTCCATAACATTAGTTAGTTTTTTTCCTGTCAGTAAGCTTATGAATCATCGTTGGCACATGGGCCTTCTTCACTGCAAATTTCTTAAAGGAGGGATGTGACAATACAGTTCAGGATAGGCTATAGAAAAAAAGAAAAGCCATATTTTTCCATGCATTAGCATTGTCTGAACTGATGTAGACACAAGGTCGTTGTTACCTCCTCCAGTAAGTATGCTAATGATACCTTAATAATTATAGTATTATGTGAAGTGCCTTGAGATGACTCTTGTCGTGATTTGACGCTATATAAATGAATTGAATTGAATTGAACTGAATTAATGCTTTAAAAGCTTCAAACAAATATAATTTAGCAGATTTGTCAAGCAACACATTGGCACAATCTAGCAAATGAAGGCACATTACAGTGAAGACAGCCTCTTGAGTACTCCAGTGCATTTCCTCCCTCAGGCTTCTGGTAATTTATGGAACCAATCCCGCTAACGCAAAGGAAGATTTGTGCTAAACAGGATTTGACCCGATCATATAAATGTCTCTTTTGATTTCATGCTCTTAAGCACTCTGATGTGTGTATTAGTTGTGCGTGCAATTTTTTTTTTTGTGCGTGTGTTTTTTGGACTGACCATCCATCTCTTCTCACCTCCCTGTAGGCCAGTCAACTACCTTACCACACTATAAAACACCACACACACAGGCTATTTCGTTTACATTATCTATAGATATTATCAGATGTTTTTTTAGCAATTTTATTTCCATTCGACACATTTGTAATACTAGTTGAACTTTGAGTAGATTGCAGTTGCAGCTAAAATGAATGTTCTTCCCCTTTAAGTGCTCCTATAGAGTAAAACTGATATTTATAGCTGATGGCTCAGGCTGTTCAGTTTATGGTTATTTCAGTGTACTTGGCTCACAAACTAAAGAAAAAAATACTTTAACCTGGTGATAATCCTGAGGCATTTATTTTAGAGTTAAAATTCTGAAATATTTATATTTTAAATAATAGAAATTATAACGTAATTTTATTACAGTCTAATGAAAAAATGTTTTGCAGTATTAAACAAAAGTAAGCTGAGTGACTCCAAACTGCAAATGACAATTTTAATCCAAAAACCAACCTGGCCCCGTGTGAGAAAGTAATTGCCCCCTAAACCTAATTACTGGTGGTAAACCTCTTGGCGACGACAACTGCTATCAAGTGTTTGTGATAACTGGTAATGATTCTCTCACATCACTGTGGAGGAAGTTTACCCTACTTGTTTTTTCCAGAGCCCTAACCCTTACCCTATGGTAAGCTCCTGATAATAACTTTTTGCTTTCCTTGACATTGGATGTGCTACTACTAGTTTACCCGCTTAACAATAGATCCACTAGGATACATGCAATAAAGTTTATATCTCACCAAATAAAATATTTACTAAGCAATCACAATGTAACCATAGACACATTGCTGTGTGCGTGTGTGTGTGTGTGTGTGTGTGTGTGTGTGTGTGTGTGTGTGTGTGTGTGTGTGTGTGTGTGTGTGTGTGTGTGTGTGTGTGTGTGTGTTGTCCTCTGCAGGCTTACTCCATGTTATCTCTCATTTTCTTTTTGAGGATGAGTCATCAGAAGCATCTTTATTTCCCCCAGTGTAACTTCTCAATGGGAATACACACACACACACACACACACACACACACACACACACACACGATTCATGTAGTTCATCCACCAGTTTCAAATATATCTGTTCCTCAAAAACCATGACTCATATGAAGTCCTATCAGCCACCTCACAGTGCTTTTCCTCACCGCCTGAATACATTGTTAATATATTTTCTTTTTATTAATTTATCAGGTTTTATTGCCGCTTTGCTCTGAGCCTGGCATCTTGTATTGTAGTGTAAATGGTTTGGCTGTTAGTGATGCTATTATATGCAGGAGCTCATAGGCTAGGCAGGTGGAGGTGAGAGATTGTCTTGTTAACAAGTTCAATTCAATTCAATTCAAGTTTATTTATATAGCGCCAAATCACGACAAGAGTCGTCTCAAGGCACTTCACACAATTAATATTCCAATTCACAGTTCATTAAACCAATCAGAAATAATGTTTCCTATATAAGGAACCCAGCAAATTGCATCAAGTCACTGGCGAGTGTCAGTGACTATACAGCAATCCTCATACTAAGCAAGCATGCAGCGACAGTGGAGAGAAAAACTCCCTGTTAACAGGAAGAAACCTCCAGAGAATCATGGCTCAGTATAAGCAGCCATCCTCCACGACTCACTGGGGATCGAGAAGACAGAGCAGACACACACACACACACACACACACACACACACACACACACACAACTGAGCAGTCATACCTTACATGTGTGAGCAGTTGCTTTGGAACAAAGCCGGTTGATGGATAGGTGGTACTTTGCACCAGTCCAGGTTATTTTCTGGGCTTTTATTTTATACATGTAACCCATCTAGTAACTTTTAAACCTGTGAGCTGACTGGTGCATTTTCAGAACCGCTTTGGAATCAGGTGTAAATGTAAATGCTCTGTGGCATTTTTTATTTCCTATCTTTAAAAGAGTACAAATAACTTTTGCCCCGGTTCACAGATGGCTCTGCAGTGTTTGTTCATTGTTCTGTGATGCTGTCACACAGAGTTTGGGACCAGAAGCATTCTATTGTATTGTTTTTG